GCACCCATTTGGACAACCATCTTTCCCATCTGTCTAGTTCTTCTTCTCAATCCCGAGCATTCCCAGGTGCCTCCTGTTTACGCCACTCATCGAATATCACTCAGCGTTTTACCATCAAGGCCACATCTCGTACAGCTTCCGTGTTTCTGCATAACATGTGATGCTTGTGAGTAAAAATCTCAAATGTAACACAAAGGGTATATTGTTTTGCATTCGCAAGGCTTGAAATAAATCAAATAGTGATAGCACAAAAAAATTAAAAGCTTACTATTCTATGTCTCCACTTTAAGCGAACTCCGTTCTTGAGATGTGGATACATCACCAGAACGAGGATATAAAACATGATCCACAAAAATAAACCCCCACTACTGTCATCAATTCATTAACGCTGCATGATTTGACATAGTTACATCGGCCGAGGCTCACGATTTACGGGTTTTATCAAAAGCTTGATGGATGAACTGAAGGGAGTTTCTTTTGTAAACAGTGTCTATTATCTTCGGCCTTTTATTGTATCCACATCTCAAGAACTCAGTTCGGTTTGAGTGGAGATACGGCACCGAAGTATTACTTTTTTATTGCATTACATTTTGCTGTCATTCAAGGCTTGTGAATGCAAAATGGTGTACAGTTCGTGATACATTTGGGATCTTTACTCACAAGTATCACATATTATACGGAAACATTGAAGCTTTACGATATGTGTCAAATCAGTTGAAGATTCGGGCACATCGTTTAAATCCTCGCCAATCAACTGGTGATGCAGCTTGAGACCGCCGCAACTCCTGCTTTCTTAACTAAGCTTTGCAAGATCAAAAGTTGTAGAAAAAATTTTTTCCAACACTTGTTGACCTCTAAGTGAGAATATTCCGATACTTTTTGATCTGACTCGCCTGCACCAGTATGAGTAACGTCTGTGTGTCGAGGCTGAAGGAATACCGGTCGTAGCTAAAGCACTGTGAGCCGAGGCTAAGGGATTGTGGGTTTTTGTTAAAGCTTGATGGGAAAAGATGTCGTTGTGTTCAACTCGGTTATGGTGAAATACAGAATGAGTATAAAGAAATAAGCACATAGATTTGTTCTGCATTGTAATTTTACTGTAAACAGAACCCTTTTATTTCCTAGTAACTCTGGAACATTTCTCCTTAATTCGAAAGCTGTCCCCTACAGTTGAGGCAGCTCCAGGGTTGTTTTCTGTCTGGCGACAGTGCACATCGCTTTGATCGAAAAGTCACACCAATGTGATTTCACGTGAAATGGCTTACCAGCCACGAATATCAACATCATTTTGCTTAAATTTGTCTGATCCCATCGGGCTAATATGTTATTCGCACGAAGTCGAGATGCCATATAAGATTTCTAAATTATCGTTATGAGTGTATTGGGGTAAGAAAAGCAGTTCATCTTGATCATAGTTCTCTGTGAATAATCCCGAAACATACAGAAACTGATCAATGATAATTCCTGACTCCAAATGACCACTTTGTATGTTTTACATATAATACAGGTATTGATCAAACTTGTGCAACACTCAGACTTTTATCACATTTGCCCCCTCCCCAGCAAATGCTTAGATTTTTGAACCCCATTTACTGGATTTAATTTGACATTGCCCCGAATCAGATGCAACAAACATTAGTAATTGTATTAA